AAACTCTTTTTTTAAATTTTTAGTCAGAGCAGTGTTCTGACTTGAAATTTTGAACTATGGCAAAGCAGTTTACAGGAAATTTTAATGGTACATTGAGCTGATTTTTCATGTCACTGAATGCTTAATGCCTTCTCCATAAACTACAGTCAAAAGTAGTTAATCCGGACCTCAAAGCTACAAACTTTCTGCGCATGCATCGATGTGCGCAAGACCTTTACGGCTGCGAATTTGCACGTGCGCAAAATACGTTTACGAATGCACGTTTAATGTATAACGGACGGTATAAGCTAAGCTAAAATTATCTAATTATCTATTTCAGTTAATGTTGCAGATTGCGTTGTTCCTTAATCTTCGAATTGGATCCGGCTTATTATTTTTTGCAGACTGTTAGAGCAATTTTATAAAGGTAAGCTTGAACTTTCGATTATGTCAAATACAATTTCCGATTATATATTTACTAATATGTTAAGGATCTACAAAGCGAAAGTATGTTTCGGAGTCCATTAAACAAAAAGTGGAATTGCTGCAAAAAATGGATAAAGGCATATCCTTTGTTTATCTAAACTTTAACGTTTGTTTATCTTTAACCCCGCGGTGCGCAATGAGTTGGAAGTTAGCACTATCCTTATCTTTTTTTATTTTATTTGGCTTATAGTTGCTTACTAAATGTAGTATTTCATCTCGATGTACTCCGTCTTTGATATGATTTAAATCAAATGCCTCGTCATTATAATTCACTTTCGATAGCGAAGAAAGTGACAGAGGTTATTGAAAACGAAAAAATTTTGATTGACAAATTAGTCGGTATTCTCGACACAGCAATTATAGAACTTGAACAGCGGAACTTTGTAACTAAACGAGAAATTATGTCTGTTTATAGAATTAAAGAGAATGTATTATCACATAAAAAACAAATCAACTTAAACAACTTACATTGAAAGAAATGTTTAATAAAGTAAACAAATAAATATTAAGCTCTTTTTTTTTTTTTTTTTTTTTTTTGTAAATTTTGGTACCCTTTAGATCATAATTGTTCTTTATTTCATAAATTACGGTTTCATATTTTTAATTTTATAATTTCTGCATGCCATTTTACTAGGTTTAAACTGATGATCTATAATCTGGAAAAATCGATAATCCGGAATCGCCGAAGTCCCGACGAGTCCGGATTAACGACTTTTGACTGTATTTTATTCAGGGACTTGCAGTGAGCCAGTGGATTGCTTATTTGATTGTCAGTGTAAATGGTCTTACTCATATCAAATATTCTTTATATTTTTAAGTAATTATTCAGGCAAAAAATTGCAGCATTCCTGGGTCAGCTTAATCAGTTTAACACAATACCATTCATTGCAAGAGTGCTAAAGATCTATTCTGATGGTATTATGATGAAAGTTACTGTTATCTTAAAAAGACGTTATTCTCTTTTATGAAATATCACCCCCAACCCCTTGCTTACGAAATGTTGACTGAACAAAATGTAAATGCTATGTTATATTTCTTGCAGTACAACCTGGATAAAGTTGTCAAAAAAAATTGTTTTGTTTATAGTGATTTGAATGTATGACATTATCCTCTATCTCAATTACAACATATTTTTGTCGTGTGGCCTATTTTGTTTGAAACCTGCTCTCAAGATGCAGTTGCAAACTGCTATATCACCCTCCTGGCTTTGCAAATATTAACTTTTGTGATTTTAATTACGTATTCATTTATTCTCAATCGTGTGCAGCCCACAGCTTCTTTCTTAAAATAGGAAAAACAAATTGAAAAAACAAATTGATGTAGGAAAAAACAAATTGATGTAAATTTGCACTTAGGAATAAACTGTAACAATGATTAGAAAGTCATGGGAAATGCCAGAGTCTGAATTGAAGAATAGTGTGTTTTTATGTATTTGAGATTCACTAAGCTGAAATTTCAAAAAAAAAAAAAAAAAATGTGATTTATTATTACTGACCCATCAGTGGCAGTATTATGATTAATAAATTTTAGTTGCTATAACAATCTTATAGTTTTGATAAAAAATTTCAAACTACAGTGAAATCTTGGTTGATGAACATCTTGGGTCATAAACAAATTTTCCAAATGAAAAATGTCTTGGATGACGAATGATGTCTTGAGATATAAACAAGTAAACTGGCAACAAATAATACTCCAAAATGCAGTTAATGTGTTAAAGTGTCTTCAAAAGAAAATAGAAGAAAAGATGTTCCTAGTTATTCAATCTGCAAAATCTTTGCAAAATAGCATAAGGTACAAAGATTCATAGAAGGTTATTATCCTGATAAAGCAGTTGTAAACCACTGCATAAATATTTGCTGTGCCTAATGCCATGTCTTGCTTTAGGAACATTGTAAAAGATAGACAGAAACTGGGCAAATTTTTAATGGTAAGAGGCTCAGTGATTCTTTATTAAAAGAAAGCAAAGCCAAGAGGAAAAAAACGAGGGGGAAAAAACAAAGAGATAGCAGCTACCTGATATTTTTAACGGACTAGGATTATCCTATCAAACAAGAACATTTTGCACATTCACTATTCTTCACTATTTTCTACATATGCTGTTAGCTTTCCTTTGTAGAGATACAGCAAAATTTAATTTGAGTTTTGCATCTTAATTTCCATTTTAATTCCAATTTTTATACATTTAGTACTGTGTTGAATATTATATATATTAATATTGTTTATGTGATTATGATTTTATTTATGTTAGATTTTATTAATTGCATTGTTTTGTGTTACAACTTGCATCAAAGTACTCTTTTCTAAGCAGTCATTTGGGATCCAGGAATGGATTAATTAATTTTATATTAATTCTTATGGGAAAATTATTTTGGTGAACCAAGGTTCCACCATATTCTCTTCATTTCATCATTTCTGAATCTTTTTTTTTAACCCAAAATTTCAATTCATATTTTTCATAACTAACTTACTTAGATAAAACAAACATGTCAATCACTATGTTATAAATGCAATATTTTAGCATTGAAATTTTTAACTAACCCTATAATTTCAGGATATTTGTAAGAAAAGAAGTTAAATAAATTGAAGTTATTTCTAGTTATTCATGCAATATCTGGAACCATTATAAAGAAAATTGAATTTAGTGCAGTGCTAACCTGCAAAGGCTGAAAAAAGGTCTAGTGATGAATTTACTCCTTACATTAGTTGCTGTTATGCACACTAGAAAATTAGCTTTCCATTTTGCTTTTCTTATCACTTCACTATGAATTTATAACTGTGTCTCCATGTGTTTGTATTTAAGAACCAAACATATGTAATCAATATGCCATCACAATTGAGCACTTATATACTTTTATATGTGCTTCAGTTTTGAAGAAACTGTAAAATATAAATTAAATAGTTTTTCCTTGTTAAATTTAACTGTAAAAACTCCCAACGGTTAAGAAAATTAATTTGTTCCTAAAATTCAGGAAGCTTTTTATAAAGCTGCTATTTCAAATTAGCAGCCAAATTACAAAATTTAAATTTAAAAAGTTCATAGGCAGACATTGCTGATATATCAAAATAAAGTTTTCTGTTTATGTAACTTATTTTGATATAGTTGCCCATAAAATGTGGCAGTTAAATTTCTGTAAACCTATCTTTTTTTAGATTCAACAACTGTTTTCTATGGAATAATTTTTATTAGTTCCTAGCTGATGTGGACAAAATCACTCTTTTATAATGTCAGACCAGAACTGTTCATACAGCAGCCACCATTCGACAACAAATGGGTCTTTCCGATATGGGAACATTCAGAGTTTCTTGAGCATGCTGCAGAATGGAAGTAGAAGTGACTTGTGGGTGTGCTAGCACTTGTCAGCAGATGTGTTGATTCACGTGTGCTGGCGTCACTTTGGCTGCACTGGCACCCATTGAGCTGGCCACATTTCCTTGTTCCAACCATCGTTGCTACAGCCAGTGCTTTGTGGATGCATTAGCTGAGATTTGTCGTATGGACCAACCTGCCCTTCTCAGTCCAATCACTATGCCTCTTGTAAAATCGTCTGTCTGGTAGTACTGCCTCTATTGACGACAACCTAGCCTTCTCTGCTATTATTTGCATCCTCTGAGACAAGAACAAATTTCTGCAATGATTTCCCTAGCAGAAATAATGGCACTAAAATTGAACATTCTGCAGTTTCCTTGCTGTATATCTTTTTCAACGTGCACTGGAGAGCTGTTCATTTCATATCATTCACATAACTCAGTGACGTGCGTCTACCCTGAAATTTGCATGATTTTCAGGCCACTCCTTTTTGGTGTTGCATTTTCAATGTTAGGTATTGTATTAACAAAAATTATTGGAGGTGCTAAGGCAATAAGAATCAGCTTAATATTCATAAATTTGCAGGACTACTTTTGAAGGTTAAATATAGAATCTACTTCTTAGCACAAATGCAAATGTTCTATATAAATCGAATTTCAAAGGTTTAAATATAGGACCTTCTAAAAGGGAAAGGATAGAACGAAGAGCAGAAAGAATCTAATGAGGAATGGGATTGGGAGAATCGACTTTGTTGAACTGCTAACTCTCTGGATTCGAATTGATTTCTTTTGGCTTCAACTATAGTTTTGAGATTTCTTAAAATCTCTTTTCAACATAAAATTAACAATAAAATCCTGCAATAAAAAGTTTTCGAACAGTTGGGAAATGATAAAAATTCAAATGAATTTAAACGTGGAAAGGAGAAACTTTGCTTTCTCTTCTAAAATGGGAAATGAGATTTTGTGGCATTCTTCCAACAAGTACTGTCTGTGGGTGAACTCAAAAAGAGCTGTTGCTTTATTTTGTTGAATTGCCACTTGCTCACTCAACAAAATGAACTATTCTTTAAAGCACTTAACAAGTAGATTGGCTATCTCTAGTTTCTAGAGCATCGTTATAATGTAGATCAATTTGTGTAAGTTAATAGAGAATTGCTTAAATATAAATAGATGTAAAATTTAATGCTGTATTTGTGTATCAGATACTAACACTATTTAAGCATTTTCACATGACTAAAGCTTTAACATTCTCAAATGTTCTTTACAAGAGGTTATTACCACATGTTGAAAAAGTCATTGGATGGTACCAGTGTGGATTTCTTGGGGAAAGGTCAACAATTGATCAAATACATGCCCTGAGGCAGATTTTCAATAAAACAATAGAGTACAGTATTGGCACCTGCTATCTTTTTATTCACTTTAGAGCTGTGTGTGACAGCATTAATGATCAGAAACTATACAAGACAATGGAGGAATTTGAAATACTGACTAAGTTAATTAATCTAACAAAAGCTACACTTAAAAGGGTAAAATGTAGAGTTAAACTTGGTAATGATTTATCTGAAGTTTTCTATATTGTCAGAAGTTTACAGCAGGTTGATGCTCTGTTCTGTTTATATTTTAACCTGGCCCTTAAGAAGGCTATCAGTACTTATGGTCTTAAGGACAGAAAAATTATTTACCATCAGACAATAGAAATCTTGCCATTCGCTGACAATATTACTTTAATGGGCAGATCCAGAAAGTATGTCGTAGAATTATTCATTCTATTAGAAGCTGAGGCAAGAAAATTAGACCTAACCATAAATGAAGGTAAAACAAAATTTTTGTAAGTTGCTAATAAATCAACTAATCCATCGCCACTGACTGTGAATGACTACAAAAAGTGGCACAATTCAAGTATCTTGGAACTATTGTCACTAATAATAATGATTTATCTTTGGAAGTTAATAACACACTCCTCATTGCAAATAGTTGTTACCATTGTCTTAAAAATCCATCCAGATCTTAAATTATCTGCTGTAATACTCATAATAATCATGAAATCTGCCAAAAATTTAGACAGCTTGATATTGTCAAAGTCATAATAAGCCACAGGATTTGATGGTTGGGTCATTTATACTGAACTGAAGATACAATCCTAGTAAAACAACTCACATTATTTACCAAGCCTATGGCAGCTAGAGAGTGAAGAAGGCCACCAATTATGTGGCTTGATGCTGTTGAAGATGACATTAATGCCATACATAGGGGAGACTGGAAGTGTATTGCCATGAATAGATCCAGATGGTGTAGACTGATTGAGAAAGCTTTGGCCAGCAGTAGGCTGTATTGCTTCAGAAGAAGAAAACTTTAACTTCAAAATATATTAATTAAGTATTTTAGTTGCTGCAACTGTTATGGTCTTCCTGTTTTGCTCTCAGATTGGTTTTGCCTTGAGTATAACTTATTAAGGCAATTTGAGAATTCTCTGTCACTGTAGACTTGTCACTGTAAGCAGGAGAATGGCCATAGATTGTTTATATGATACCTGGGAATTTGATACACAGTATTTTTAAAATACAGCATAACGTGCATATAAATACATATAAGTGCAGTATATAGTTAAATACAGTATATGCAGTTTTAAATAGTATAAACCTATATAATTAAATAGATTTATACATTGTTTGTAATAATGGCATGCAATCATGTTCTGGCTAGAAATTTGCAACACTAATCTTAAAGTGTTCTTGATCATTTAGAAATTTGTTTATATGTATATAGATAAAATACATTATATATCTTTATAAGTAAATAATATAGTATATATCTGTATGTATCAGGTGGATTAAAGTTTAATAGTACAGTATTTTTCATGATGAATTAATTTTTAGAAAATTGTCTTTTTTTATTATTATTATAATTTTGCTTTTTAACGAAAACAATATGATTGCCAATTATGAAAAGTTTTAGCCTTGCTTTATTGTCTGAATTTATATTTAAGAAAGAGTACTTTTATATTGACATATTTGCTCATTTTGTGAAAAAGAATTTCATTTTAAGGCAAAATTTGACCTTCATCTTCATGTGCATATTACTAAAAGGCCTTTTAATTGTAAAATATTCTCAGAAGATTACAAATGCAATGAATCTTTGTTATGTCACAGTAGGACTGCTAATTAAGTGTTAATGTCGTACCAGTTATGTAACCATGCTTTTGTCATAGTTGTAAATCCTTGTGTCTTCATGTTTTATTCTCTTGCATATAAAATGTTTTATATGATAGTGTTTGTATTTTTAATATCAGTTTTCTGTTTATTAACAATTCTGTCAAAAGTCTAAAGAAAAGAAAGTCAAAAGAAAGTTCTTTGTTCTTTTTTTTTTTTTTTTTTTTTCTTTTTCATAACTTGCTAGACTTTTTTTTAAATTCAAATCATATGCAAGTACATTTTTATATGTTAACTGTAGATTTTAATGCCCTTTGAAAGTTAGAATTAACTGTTCATTTGCAATTAAATGTGCTTCATGTATTTAAGTATAATTAATATACAACTGTTTTGTATCCTTGTGGGCGAATTTAAATTGCATTGTGGAAGTTTAAGTAGCATGATATTTCATATTTAGGAAATAAAATTAAGAATGCATCCTGGAATTGTAAGCATTGGCTATTAGATTATTGTGATAGTAATTTTAAATAATCTTTATAAACAGTTTTGGCAAAAACGATAATGCTTAGACCAAAAGTAAGATTACATATAGACATTCAAAATATATTTTTTAAAAAAAATTATTCTTTTAAATCGAGACTGAAAAGATAATTGCAATTAAAGCAAACTTATGGTTTTCATGAGATAAAAAGTTCTCCAAACTCAGTAATATTATTGATATTTGATTCTTGAAGATAATTTTGAGTGTTAAAAGTAGGAAAATATATACACATTCAGAAATATAAGTGTGATAATAAATTATTTAACCGTCGTACGAGTCCTGTAATAATAACTTATGAGCTAAATACATTGGTGGTTTGGTTTGGTTTATTAGATTATGGCAATGCACTCGAGGGCTACCTGCCTTAAGGGAGGGATGCCTTTGTGGAGGACTTTTTAAAGGAAACTGCCTCGTATACACATTACACATGGGGACATCCATGCAGCCAGCCCATTTGTGGGATTCGCACCTCGGACCGACCTACCAGTGTTCAGTGACGTTACCGCTCGTCCGCTGGTGGGACGAATACATTAGTGGACCATAAATATGTGTAACATAAAAATATTTATGTAATCTTTTTACCATATGGCTAGAGACTTGCTTGTTGAGCATTAATTGGGAATCACTGAACCCCTCGATTGACATAAGCCAGAGGCCGCACGGTAGCTGACTGACATTAAACCTGAAAAGAGAAGGAAAGAAAACAGTGCAATCACACTCAAGCCGTGTGCAATAATGAGAACTGCACCCATGGTTTTGGATTTGCAGTCATCATCCGCTAACCACTGTTCCATCCAATGTGCATTTATTTCCTGCCTTCTTTTTTCCTTTTCAAGTGATATGCATGATATCAAATTTTAATTTAAAAATTTTTCTTAAATGAAATTGAAAGTAAATTTTAAATGTCTTACCTTCTTGTGCATTCTCAAAAAACTTATTTTAATTTGGCTTCGGGGGAAAAAGTTTCTATAATCAAGCCATTATTGGCTTGCTACAAGGATGAACCTTTCTCTTCCTGGAATGTAATCCATACTGAATTCTAGGCATTGTATATGCACTTAAATGTTACACTATCAGGGCAACCTAGAAAATCAGAGGAAAAATATCTTTTAATTGTATTCTGGCGTGCATATAAAACTTGTGCCTGTGCTAGAAGTTTATAAAGGACTTGAGTTATTATGCATGTTTTTTTACCGCACTGACTGCTTATTAGATTACCTGTTAAAGAAGTCTTGATCATAGAGCCATGCTTAATCTCTTAATGGAGTGATTATTCATGTAAACAATTGCAACATACATGAGCCATCCTAGACTAAATGAAGCTTAGCACTTCAGAGTTGTTGGGATCTATCCCTGAATGTTATGGTTATGAATTCTTACAAAATATTATTGCCATTCTCAGACATGACAATAATGTTCCAGTAGTTCTTTTGCAGTCCTCATTCACGAAGTACCCAGAGAAAAAACTAAATAATGTGTATTGCATACATTTCTTGCAATGTTACTTGCATGAAGCCCTCCAGAAGAAATGCTGTTGGTTTCTGTATCTCTTCTACACCTTGAAAACATATATTGTAATGCTGTTGGTTTGTTTGCAGCTTGTTTGCAAAAGACAGAAGTACTGTATCTCTCTATATATTTTACAGACCTTATTTTGTGGGAATTTATTTTATTTATGTATTTCCCTCTAATTCTGTAAGTTACACGTGTAGCCAGCAGCTTCTTCGTTGATGTCAGCAAATTTGTGGTACCCGAAGATAACCCAAAGGTCATCATTAAAAAGCTGTCATAATGATGGAAAAGAGATTTACCAATGCAAGGAACTGTGTTGAGATACTTTTAAAATAAATTTCGTTATGTGTCTTTTGTGCCAGCCTATTTGTATCTGATTGTAATCACTATTGAATTTCCAAACGCTATAGAGACATAATAAGCTGTAATTTTTGCTTGGAAACAACACAGAGTTTGATGAATTAATTTTTACTAAACCTTCAATAAAAATATTGTGATGAGTACATTTTTGCTGTTATGAATAGTTTGCCGTTTGTAATGTGAGTTATCAAATTGTTTAATTTGATTTGCATTTCTGAATCTTTTTATTTTTAACCCAAAATCCATTAAAAATTTTAAGTTCTTAATATATTCAGATAAAGCATAAAAGTCTTGTAAATCAAATATACTGCCTCGCAAATAGAAATTTTTCTGCAACGCTGTATATTGAGATAGTTAGATTTATGAGGCTATGTTTAGAAAAAATAAGTAATATAAATTGTGCCTCATTGATTTACTGATCTGATGGCATAAAGGAAACTAGTCATGGCATGTGTAACCCGTGAATTCTAAAAAAGAGCTGAGATTATAGATTTACTTTTCCTTTTCATGTTTCTTTGTACTGAGCATAATTTTGAGGAGTATTTTGTATTTATGTGTTTATTATTATTATTTGGACTTTGTAGAAAATTTCCTATCTGTTTTCTGTATTACTGGTATATTATCATTTGCCAGCAGATCAGTTTCTCCTTTTGTATGTATATTATTCTCATGCCATTGTAGTTCACCATTTTTGCTTTTGCCTTCAGTTTTTAAAAAAGTTATAAAATTGAAATTAAATGCTTTGGTAAACATTAAGCTTATCATTGGAAACTCTTTTATTATTATGAATTTTAATTCATTGCTTAAACTAAAGAAACCTTTTATAAGATTACTGTGATCACTTATGCATCAAATGATATAATTTGAATTACAGAATTTATTTGCAGAGTCTGCTATGCTACCAAAATAACCGTGAATTTCTGTTAATAGGACTTGCTGCGATCACCAATTTATTCTAGCTTATAAATAAGCCTTACTTCCAGTAAGTATGTTGAGCCTCTGGTATTATGTCCTTAGAGCTCCAACTGTCTAAGTTAATAATGAAACTGCATAAAACTGAAAAAAGTATAAAATTAAATGACGAACTTATTTAATGCTTTATTTAAGTAACTTAAAAGTTGAAGCAACTTCTGGTGGCTAAACTTTATTGTTGAAATACCTTGGTGGAAGAGGCATACCTCTTGTAAATTGCTTGAGATTAATTTTGTGCTGAATGTAATTTGTGAAGCTAGCCTGAAAATTTGCCTTTTTGATGTCTGTCCAGGCTAAAAATTAAAACACAGGACTCTGAAATCTCATTCAGTATTTTTTTTTTTTTTTTTTTTTGTGAAACTGGAGAATTCACTAGAAGTTATATATTTCAATGTTTCTGCGTATAATCTAGGGATATATGCAGTGTGTTGTGGTTGAAATTCTGTGTGATACAAAGTAGCGCCCTTGATCTTTGCGAATTTTGTATATGTGTCTGCAGGCAAAATACATAAAAAATAATTTTTTTGTTTTTTGTTTTTTGTTAAATAGTGTACCTATTTTTATTTACATATCATAAGAAATAGTAGCATTGCTTTTTATTTCTGATTTTTTTTTACTTTAAAGTTGTATTTATTCCTTTTCAGGTTGCCTTTTGAAAGAAGAAAATATGTTTATCAAGAGTCGTGACTTTGCTCAGAATTCTAAAGCTGCTTTATCATCAGCCTTCAGAGTTATAAAATCAGGACCTTCTTCATGTCGATATATTTGCCCATTTTGTACGAAAGGATTTAAGAACAAAACAGATATGGAACGTCATCTTCGAGTACACACTGGTGAAAAGCCTTATGAGTGCAAAATGTGCTCAAAATGTTTCAAACACAAAGATTCTCTATTATACCACACTATGAATGTTCATCAAAAATTCATTTAATGTGTCATACCATACCAATTATGGTTGTTCATCACCTTTATTATTATTGTTGTTGTTGTACTCATACGGTGTTTGTTTCAACAAACAGTGTTTCTCAGCTTGTTTTGCCCCATGCACCCTTTTTACCATTGCTAGAAGATCATTTCGCCCCTGCTTTTCAAAACTTTAAAAACACATATATACATTTATTTGGATTTAGGTTATTTTTAATATGTTTTTTCAGTTAAACAGCAAAAAGGATATATGTTGGTAAATATCAAAATTCAAATAAAAGTGTTTATGTATGATATAATAGCAAGGAAAAGATGAAGCAGTGTTGATGCGTAAATAGATCCATATTGAAGAGGAAGCATTCTGATTGCATAGTATGCTAATGTGTCGAGTTCATAATATCTAAGAAATTTCACAATCGAGGCAGTTTTAATTCCATTTTTATTTGCAATTGATATTTGTGGCCACAGTTTTTTTGGCACTTGAGTTGTGTCTATTAAAAAACATTTACATTTTTGATATTATTGCAATAGGAAGCAGCATAGCAAAATTGCGTCCAAGCAGAGCAGAGATAGAAGCTGAAGTGGGTAGTTATGCAAGATGGAAGCATACGAAGAGAAATGTTTTGATTTGAGTTAAAAAGTTTCTGTTTCCAATTATTACATCATCTGTGCTGAAGAGGCCATGCAAAATGGAATGATCTAGAAATAATGCATTTCAGAGAAGTTATTGTGATTTTTAGACAGAGAAGGAGAATTTAAGTTTTACCATTAGTTTAAATTATAATTTTGATCAACATATTGTTTATCTTACATGCATGTGTGTATATATATTCAAATTCCTAAAGAGCCTTTCTGATAACTATTTCAATAAATTTGAACACATAGATATATTACTTTCAACAATTTTAATCTCATCGAAAATAGCAACATCTACCCAAATTGTCTCAAACTAAATAAGACCAATAAAAACCAAACAGAAATAGTTTATTTTGATCTAAGTATTCATAATCTAACAGAAATTAAACTTTTTGATAAAGGAAAAGATTTAAACCTATAAAGTGGAACTCCAACTTATATAAAAAAAGTTATTGCAAATACTGCTATTAACCAGATTAGCAGTACTATTAAAAACGTTTGCACTGAAATAGAAGAACAAAAAGAAGAAATTCTAATTCTCACCAAAATTTTAAAAGATAATGAAATTCCCTTAAAATTCATTAGTCTTTGAAATTAGTCTTTGAAAGAAAGCTGGTGTAATCTACACCCTATAATACTTTTTCAAAGTATGAATTTTTCATCTGAAAGCTCCAAACGAGAAGGATAAAGAAAGATGTTTTAAAGGGTTTATAGAATTTTATTTATTTTTATTTTTCTATTTTTTTCTCTTAATTGCTATTCTGTTACTAAATAAGGGCCTTATATATTCAAAGTTGTGTGATAAGCCCATGGTGTGAAGACTTTTTGCTTTTTTAACAATAGTTCCTTTACTTCCTTTTTCTGTAATTTTAAAAAATCTGAAATTTAACTTTATGAATTTACTCATATATACAAAATAATTACTAAAAACTTTCTGACCACTATTTGGGCACCTTTTTTAATTCTTATTTTTTTTTTTAAGAATAATTGATTTTAAAATTTAATTAATGTTTTACACTAAATGATATTTATTCCCCTTTTTTGTTTTGAAAGAGTCAGAATTTACTTAAATTTTATTCATTTAATAAGTACTCTTTTTCTTTGTAAAAATTAAAATGTTTTCATTGAAGTATTTAAATTTTTCCTTTTGGTTTCAAAGTTACATCTTTTGATCCAAATTTTAGCTTTTTGAGCGATTACTTTTTCACCAAGGTTTTTTAGTTTCGCCAGTATAGCCAAAATGGCAAACCTGTACATCACTACTATAATGATATTTGTTTCAATGGTGGTCTATTGAATGTTCTTGAAGTCTTAATTAAGTCTTTTCACCTAAGTTTTATAGTGTTTTAAAGTCTTTGGATTATATGCTGTATGTTTAAAGGTAAAAATTTTGATTTAAATTTTTCATTTAAGTTTTTTTTTTTATTTTTTCACTTATGTTTTCAATTCCTTAAATAAAATAGAATTATCTTTATTTAAGGTTTAAGATTCTAATTAGAATTTGCTTTGTTTTTTCTTGCTGTGGGGAAGGGCCAGAATTTTCAGGTGAACTATTATGATTAAAATATATTGAAATTGTTCATCGCTTAATTCTGGATACTGAAAAACAAGGATTTCAATTGATTTCAGTATTCCTCCCCCCTGATGAAGTAGCATTGAAGTTTATTGAATTCCTCTTCTGTTTTGTTCATTTTTCTTTAATTTGTTAATTTCTCTTCTGTTTCGTTAATTTTTTGAATTGGGGTATTGCTTGTTTGAAAATTTTTATTTTAACATTTTTTTTTAATTCTTTGTAACATTTAATGGATTATTTGAAATTTATTAATTATGAATTTCAATTTTTAGTCTTTGTGAAAACTTAATAAAAATTAGTTATAAATTTCTTACTTTATGTCTTTACTGATATATATAGTGTGTGTGTTTTATAATTCAATTTAGCAATAGACTTTTAATTCCTCATTTTTAGTTTGGATATTTCCTCTTTACTGTTAAAATAGCTTTTCTGGACTGCATCATTTCTAGATCAGTATGAAACGTGGCTTGTGTAGCGCTGATGATACAGCTAATTCAGAACTTGAACTCAAATTTTTAAGTACTTTGTTGCCGTTTTTGAAGAAAATTGTGACATACAGTCAAAAGTCGTTAATTCGGACACCCATAATCCGGAATGATCTATAATCCGAACCTCAAAGCTAAAAACTTTCTGCGCATGCGCCGCGTTGTCACATGCGCACAGGCGTTTTAGGCGTGCGCGTAAGATTTTGACTACTGCGCATATGCGTGTGCGCAAGTGCAAAATACGTTTCCGCCTGCGCGTTTAATGTATAACGGACGGTGTAAGCTAAAATTATCTAATTATCAATTTCAGTTAATGTTAATGATTGCGTTGTTCCTTAATCTTCGAATTGGATCCCGCTTATTATTTTTTGAAGACTGTAAGAGCAATTTTATAAAAGTAAACTTGAACTTTCGATTATGTCAAATAGAATTTCCGATGCTGGAACTTCCAAAGGATCTACAAAACGAAAGTATGTTTCGATGTCCTACAAACAAAAAGTGGAATTGCTGCAAAAAATGGATAAAGACATGAAGAATGTGGCAGAGAGGGCAGAGAGGTTAGTGAAAAACGAAAAAATTTCGATTGACAAGTTAGTCGGTATTCTCGGCACAGCAATTAACGGGACTTGAACAGCGGGACTTTGTAACTGAACAAGAAATTATGTCTGTTTATTTATAGAATTAAAGAGAAAGTATTATCACATAAAATGAAGCAACTTAAACAACTTACATTGAAAGAAATGTTTAATAAAGTAAACAAATAAATATTAAGCTTTTTTTTTTTTTTTTTTTTTTTTTTTGTAAATTTTGATACTCTTTAGATCATAATTGTTCTTTATTTCATAAATTACGGTTTCATATTTTTAATTTTAAAATTTCTGCATGCCATCTTACGAGATTTAAACTGATGATCTATAATCCGGAAAAATCGATAATCCGGAATAGCCGATGTCCCGACGAGTCCGGATTAACGACTTTTGACTGTATATATGTATTTTCATCAATGATAAATATAAATTTTAATTCGTAACAATTTTAATTTATTGCTTTATACAGTGGTTCCTATCGCAGCTGATGCAAAATATCCTGCATTCTTTTCATATCGTTTATGTAAATGAAGAAATCAGATTTTTTTTTTTTAAATATTTCTTTTGAAAGCATTCGTCATTATAGGTTTTGTTTTTTCAATTTTAGGAAGTCTCTTTCTTTATGTATAATAAAATACATATATGTATGAGTATGTTTCACAAGTAAAATTAAGAATAAATCAAGTTTTGCGATTTCTGTTATGTTCTGTGTGTTTTTAAAAAACTACCTTTGATCCAAAATGTGTACAAAGACTGTAAATTTAATTTGACCATAGATGTGCAATTTTAATAGTATTGGCCTAAGATGATGTCGAACCTTCCTATTTACGGTATATAATGATCATTATCTTCCACATGCTGTGTGTGCATTTATGTAATACATTAAGTACAAATAAAATTGAAAAACTTGTTTTCCATGTGACAGCAGTCTTTCTGGTGAGAAATTGAGACTCTAACTTCATGCCACATTTATGTTGAACAGTGACTTAGAATGCTTGTGAAGCTGATTCATTATTATAGCATCTGGTAAGGAAGTGGATGAACCCATTGAATGTGGACATAAGAATATAAGTACAAGACCTTTGCTTTTTAAATGCATATTTTCTGATGTGCCATGAATAGCCTCTTTCTGATGTTAATCTCTTATCAGTATTTAACTTCTTTTTAGCTTGGGTGAGAAACTGGTCTCTTTAATATGGCCGTCTTTTAATACTAAATAGGTTACACATGTAAAGAACTGTGTGTTGTGTTCTTTTTTCACTTGATGGATATTGAAGCTTGGCAGCAATACATTGTTTTTAAGATCCGTCTGGAATAGTAAAATCTTGAAGGGGATTCTATTCTTACAAAAAATCATTGCCTTGGGTAAAACAAAGCTACAGATCCCTTTATTAAAGAGTATCCATATAAAAAACGATATTCTCTGTATCTAGCACTTTTCTTGTAATGAAACTTACATGAAGCCCTCCAGAAGAAACAGCATCATTTTCTTAGCACACTTGTTATGATACTGATCTGCAGTGTGCTTAAAAGAGGGAATAAATATCTGTTTGTAACTAAAGTTTTCACCCAAAAAACGTTTTTGGCAGAAACAAAGAACAAATTCCTCCATTTTATTTTTAAATCACCAAGATTTTCTTGTCCTGATGATATGTAAAATTTGTGGTTACTTTTATCATACAAAGATCCTAGATCTCTAATAAACAATTCTGGCGTGTTCCATTTCAAACTCTTGAGCATCAGAAATGACTTTAACAACTCTATTTTAAACTGCTGTATGCCTTCACCAGTAAACACTTCTTTATTTACAATTTGAGGCATTTTGGGGCAGGAATTAACTTTAATAATGTTAGGGGGGTAAAACATGAAAGCAGTGCCTTTAGTGCGGGTAGATCATAGATCACCCAAATCTATGATTTTTCTGCCAATCTGTTGGTATTTTTTTAAAGCCTTCAGCACAGAAAGTTGGTGGCCACAAGTTTAAAAACAGATCAGCTTCATTTTGGATGTCCTGAGCAGAATGGAAGATAGCACCAGCAAGATGTAGCTGCAGGTGTGAAAAAAGTTAGAAATCTGAAGAAGTGATGCTGCGGCTGGTGAAATGATGCTGGTGGGTGAGGCAAAAGATCCCATTCGAGTCCGTACAGAGTCCAACCGGTGAATGCAGACACATGTAGTCTTGCATTATCTCGATGGAACATTAAATTTTTTCGCCGGAACATAGTTCGATGTTTTTCCTTGATAGCAGTGTCAACAGAGACTAGCATCCCGCTTTACTGTTGAGGTAACATGACAATTCAACCG